ACCACGAGTGCCCCTGTCGGTCATTTTGGCCAGCCAATCACTTACCGCGGTGCCCTCCGGTGCCCTGCGGTGGCTTGTGGGTAGGTTACTGTACCGCGGGTTTTTACTGCGCATTTTGAATGGATGCATCTGTATGTGTTTTAGAGACTTTGAAATTATTATTTATTAGAAGTGCTCCATTGGAAAACTGTTTTTGGAACTTGTAATTGTTAGGTTTACTAACTCATTCATGTTTTTAATATCATATTTTAGTAATATAATTTAATATTTAACATGTTTTGAAATATAAAAATAATAAAAATGTCAATATAATGTACATATTATTTACTATTTTATTTTTAGAGAAGGTGTCTTTGTTAGAAATAAAACTGAGGAACTTAGGAATCAAACACAGGACCTTCTGGGTGATAGGTGTGCACTTTACCACTTTACCAAAGGATCACTTGGTAAAGAAATTGATGCAGATGTGTACTAAGAAAGTGGAAAACGGTACTGCTATCAGCTACATAAATATATTGTAGCATGGTGGGTTTGGTGAGGATGAAAGACAGGAATTCAGCTCTTTTATTTAAACACGTCTAACAGCATAGCAGCTGCAAAAAAGGAAAACCAAAGAAAACAGGGTAAAAAACACTAGGGTCATTTGGGGCACAGGTACATGGGTATAGGTTGGTAGATATGTACAGGTATAAAAGGGGATGCAAAACCAGGGAAACTATTTATATAAATCTGAGTAATCATACGATGGTCTACACCCATTCCACAATTGGTCAACGGCACAGGCCATGGGCTCCCCTAGTCCCCGCCCTGGCCACTACTACTCACATCATGCCCTTCTCCGCACACTCTAGCCAGGCGCTCTTCAACTGGAATCGCAGACAAGGGCACCATAATATTATATTTAGATCCATAAATGTTTAACAATGTTTATGAACTATTTTTATTTTCAGCTATCAAAATTTCTTCAGTTACTGTACATGATTCCATATTTATTTTCCCTATAAAGTGGAATTTGAAAAGTACTACAGCTTTTTTTGACAACAATGACAGCAAGTATTCATAGAAAATGTTAGAACATTATAGATTTTCATGATGTATATAAACTTAAAGAAGGTGTCAGAACGAGCATGTCAAAACTTTTCCAAAATAACCACAGTAAGTGACCGAGTCAAAGACTTCTCATTAATGTGTTGACTGAGTAAAACGTAAAAAAAATATGATGTTTCAAACTTGAAGCGCAAGGGGTTCCCTTCAATTCAACACACTAATCAGACCTGTACTATGCATACAGTGCCTTGCGAAAGTATTCGGCCCCCTTGAACTTTTCAACCTTTTGCCACATTTCAGGCTCAAACATAAAGATATAAATTTTATTTTATGTGAAGAATCACCAACAAGTGGGACACAATTGTGAAGTGGAACGAAATCTATTGGATTTTTGAAACTTTTTTAACTAATAAAAAAATG